GGAAGCAGGGGCTGTCGCCTAACAACAGACTCCAGGGCCGTAGTGACTCGGGTATGGGGGAGGGGGCACGCAGGGGCTGTCGCCTAACAACAGATTCCAGGACCGTAGTCACTCGGGTATGGGGGGGGGAAGCAGGGGCTGTCGCCTAACAACAGACTCCAGGCCCGTAGCGACTCGGGGATGGGGGGTGGGGCAAGCAGGGGCTGTCGCCTAACAACAGATTCCAGGCCCGTAGTGGCCCCCCATACCCGAGTGGCAAGCAGGGGCTGTCGCCTAACAACAGACTCCAGGCCCGTAGTGACTCGGGTATGGGGGGGAGCAAGCAGGGGCTGTTGCCTAACAACAGACTCCAGGCCTGTAGTGATTCGGGTATGGGGGGGGGGGCAAACAGAGGCCAATTTTATATAAACTTTTATAAGGACATTTATATAGTGGCCGGGACCTTTATATAGAGGGAACTTTATATTGATAGACCTTTATATAGAGGGACCTTTATATAGAGGGACTACTATTATAGTCTAAGCTATGTGCTAGCGCCCTCTCTATGCGTTCAGCTGCGTTGTTGCAGGGTTCGTCACCGGATGGGGAATCACCGAACACGGCGTGACGTCAAACATTCTTTTGGAGGCGCGACTTCCAGTTGCTGACATGCAGACTTGTCGCAGGGTAATGCCACCAGGGGTCGCCCCATGTGCAATGCGTCTCTGGAGATTCGTCTTCCTTAGTAATGCGCTCGTCTGTAGCAACTGCGCTAATAGTTAGACGTAGAAGATATCGTAAGTAAAAACTAATGGTTTTTACTAATTCATATTTAATTAGCTTACTACGACAGCCAACTTTTTATATTAATATAGTAATGAAATTACAGTAGTTTTGTTTATACTTTCCAATATCCTCTCCATCAAAACAAAAAACCCTGTTTGGGAATGATTTCAGTCGTTTCAAGGTCTGAGCGGAAGCGGAGGTGACATCTTCATCACGGAAAACATGATCTGTGTCGGTGACCCGGCAGGGGGCGTTGGCACGTGCGAGGGCGACAGTGGCGGCCCCTTCGTTATCGAGACAACCGATCAGGGACGGCAGAAGGTAGAACACATTCCGTGAACATTGACCGACATTTTAACTTGCCGCTAACTGCGTTGTACTGGTGGTTCTATTCTATTAGTAAATTATATAAAGGTGTCCGTTCTATACAGTTGACCGTTCTGTGGAGGTGACTGTTAACGCAGGGCATCGCTCATGTTTCAGTACCAGCTGCACGGTGTAGTGAGTTTCGTGAGTAAGGATGGCTGCGCGATAGAGAACCAATATGCTGTCTACACGAAGGTCAAGAACTTCCTGCGATGGATCCTTCCCTATCTGCAGCATCCGCGACGCCGCCGCTAGCGCCCCCTGACGGTGACCAACAGACAACCAGTATCTCATCATACATCAGTAACAACGTCACAGTCATCGTCAACGGTTTCTGTATCTATCGTCAATATCAACGCCACCGCCAATGTCGACCATATCATTGTCATTACCATAAATACCGTATACATAAACGTCACAGCCATCATCATCATCATCATCATCATCATCATCATCATCATTATCATCATCATTATCATCATCATTATCATTATCATCATCATCATCATCATCATCATCATCATCATCATTATCATCATCACCATTGACCATTGTTATCATCATCAGCATCTAACAGTGGCTTCAGTATCATTACTGAGTTTTAATGTATTCGTATGTTATCAAGAGCGGATAATATTATTAGCTCTTGATGTTATACTACTGTATCTTTATGTACATCATTCTGGTATTAGATAGATACATAAATTTACGCATGTCACATAATATATACATAGATAGTATGTGTGGCCGTAAAAAGCTCGCATACAATAAACTGGTGCTTTAGAATGTCAAATGTATAGATGAAATAACAAAATAATTTCTGGGTCAGTGTAATGACATCATAAGAATGTATTATGTATAACGGCATAACAATCTACGTCATACACACGTGCATGTCTAGTAGGCAGCATAATGCTATGTGCCGCATGGTGGCGGTGCAGTCGGTCTAGTTCATAGATATCATATAACACCATATAAAACATAATTATAGGTGTTATATGATATCTATGGTCTAGTTACTGACTTCCTAATCAAACACTTTCTAATTTGATGTTTTACTATTATATTAAAACTCAATAGAAATGATATTTTTCACAATTTAAACGGATTTGATGTTTCTGTATCATGCACTTATTAGCAATGACGTCCCGATTCGCTCATAACACCAACGCGTTTCCGAAGAAGTGCTCGGATGTGCAGACTGTAGACGATCCCGCATGGCGGCACATACAAACACAGGCACTTGGACCGTTTCAATAATAAAAGGATGGTTAATAAATACAACTTGTCAGTACTACTACTAGACCTACCAGTACCAGTACCAGCAGGAGTAAGATAATATAGGATCCTAAGGATATACCTTATAGGATATAAGATAAGATAAGATCCTATATTATCTTACTCCTGGTACCAGTAATAGTCTTCATGTTTGATTTGACCTAATAACTTCACTTCAACACCGTCCAATACACCGCTGCAACACATATAGCACACACGCCATTGTGTATGCACAAATACACAGTGATATAGAGTACCACTAACTACCAATAACTCGCACCAAAATATAAAAAAGGTTATATGGGACAGAATTAATCGGTCTAACGCGGAGTAAGTCTAGCGAGTAGCGTACTCAATGACAATGTGCTGTATGTTCCATATGTTTGTGTGTGTGTGTGTGATTCATATGACAAGCCGATTTCTTTAGTTTTAATTTAATGTTAGCACTATAATACTAAGGATTGTTGTAAAGCGATTGCTAATAGTTATATAAAATCGGAATGTATTCTACCGTCCGACCGTTTAGCTAATGCTATATGACAAGAAAAGAAAAATAGCAAGTGCTACTTTAGCTCTAGTACTGTAGCCTGCGTACAGTTACGCGGGCTATAGTACTAGAGCTAGTGCTACTTCATTTCCCAACGCTAATGAACGCAGACATACCGCCAGGTGGCGGAGTAGCAGCAGCTTGAAGGAAAAAACCATCAAAAGTCACAGACGGAATAAGAGAATGTAAATAGATATGACAAAATCTTTATTCACGCAACTTAAGCTACAGACTTTAAGCACAGCTATACAGCATCGTGTGTATTGTATGTATATATATATATATATAACATTAACGTGGCTAAATGCAGTGACACACACCGTCCTTTCCCTGGTAAATGCAGAACCGTAGTTTATACATCAAAGTGACAGCAGTGTATGTATAATAATATGTATACAACAATATCAGAGCGAACATGTCACAGGACGTACCAACAACAACAACATCATCAACATCAACAACATCATCAACATCAACACCGCCACCGGCACCCCACATGGGAGCAGTTAGTAGATGCGTGAGATGCAACAGCACGAAGAGCGGAAGAGTGAGAGGGAAAGAAAGAAGTAACTGAGAAAGAGTGAAAGAGAGAGTTAGCTAGAGAGAGGAAGGAGAGAGCGAGTGTTGGGGAAAGGGAGAAAGAAACGGCGCGCTGCTGCATTCAGCGTCAACAGAGTGCATGAGTTCGTCTGCGTGTAGCAGTAGTGCAGTCGGCCGTACGGAAGGCGGTAACAGCTCTATATAGTATCGCCCTGTAAATCGTACATGGCGTTACGTACGTAGGCGACACACTGCCAGCGCATGAGCAAGCAATCCGATGTGTACACGGGAACGTTGGAAACACGCATACTGCTTACTATTAAATGCAACCAGATAAATACAATAACTAGACAGCAACTTGTGGGTAATACATGATGTCACTTGGCAGCCATATTGTTCGGTTCAGAAATCGAATTATTAGCAGGGAAAGACGATGGGAAGGTTAGACATTGTTGAATGTTCCCTCGTTCTATTTCATTGTGTCTGTAACAATCGGTTAACACTACTATATACAGATTCCTGCGCGACCAATTTAGCGGCCGAGTGACGTCATCTGCTAGTATTGCGGTGATTGGACGATGCGCCGCCAGGTTATTATACATAAGAACATAGCTTTAACCATGTAAGCACGACTTCGGGCGATTGATGTATGCTGCATGCGTATGTTGCACTGCTGCTGTCGCTGCTGTTGTATTCAGGTACGAAGAAACACTTCCAGCAACTGCCACGAGCCGTGCTAGATCGTATCCCTACTGATGTGCTGGTAGTGTAGAGTTATAGAGACAAGACGGCGAGATGCCTACATTAGATAACTAGCGATGCTGCTGCCACCACCGACGCTGGATGCGCTGGCCACGTGATTTTTTTTCCTAGGTCAATCACAAACTGCATGCAGCGCCCCCTTCCCACACTCAGGATATACCACTGCCACAATGCTAGCACTATTTTTACAGTGGGCGGAGCTCCGGGGAAATTCAGCAAATGGCAAGCCAACGGCCGCGAAGTCGCCGCTGAACAAAACATTAGAAATTTTTATGATTTGCATGTTTGTTGGTGGACA